GCAGTCGTTGAATTTTTTTTTTTCCTTTTTATTACTTTAAAAATGTTCAACCTCAAACACTCAGATGTTTGCAGTACAATTTAGCAAACTGCTCCTTTGTTATAATTCTCAGACGAAACGCAGCTATGCATATAAATGTGCCTTTACTGTGAAGTTGTACAGAAATAAAAGGCAATTAATGCATAAAAAAATGGCACAGAAGATGATAGCAGAAAAAGGACTTCGCTCTATTTTCACCATCTAATTTGATCATTTCAGGGGTAACCACATCAAAGCATGTTCCCCACTTTCCATCAACATACAATCCTACATCTGCTTGTATTTGTATCCCAATGGATAAAAAATGATTTGGACATCCAGCACATTGTTCTTCATGTAAGAAGAGTGGCAGGAAGTAATTAACACAGAGGATCTGATGACATGTTCACATACTGAAGGTGCCAATGAGGTTGAGCTAAAAAGAGGCGATGACTTTTCTCATTTATTTTTGTCTTGTAACAAAACCTCACAAACAAAATGTCCTTTCGCTTGGTTTTATCTTTTACGTTCGCCTTTCTGTGTGCGCTTCTTCTCCTTCTCTTTCCTGTCTTGTTTGGCCAGTTTGTCCTTCTCTCGCTGCATCTTGTCCGTTTCTTTCTTCTTCTGAGCATCCTCGCGAGCTTGGTCCCTCTTTTGCTTCTGTCTGTTCAGCACTTGCTCCACGTTGGTGTTCTTAAACAGGGCTGACACTTACAGTGAAGGACAGTTGGATGGAAATACTGTATTTTTTTTACTGCATATTCTGTCTGGAGGAGTAAATGGCTGTGAGTTAATCATCAGGGTAGTCAGGGTAATGGCACTACTGCACTATTCAATCAAACTGCAACCAGTAACACTGAACACCGTGTGATTATAAATAGCCCCTGATCCTGAAGAGCTGAAGAAAGGATACATTTGTCACCTGGGGGTTTATTAGCAGTTGTTTGCTCCTCTTCCTCAGCTTCAGTGCTTTTGTTAAGGAAACAACAGAATATATG